TCTTTATTTGATCTGTACAAGCTAGAAGATGAATGAATGAAAACAATTGTTATTAGTTAGTTTTGTTCATATTTTATCTAGCTTGGATTATCTAGCTTGGATTGTTATTCCTGCATTTGGGTAGGGCGGCTACTAATGTTAGAAAACAGTTGTATTTACACCGTTAAGCCGAAAACCCTTTCCACAACATATTTCAAAGGAAATATTTCTCAATGCTTCTAATTCTTTTATATATTGTTACAAAATAATACGTAACACTGATCACATAAATTAGGTTCCTCCTATCTTCTGGTACCTGAATCAGGGCAACTACACTGTGGTTATGGCCGTTCCTAATCCTTCCACCATTGCATCACCGCCGTCAGAATGTGGCGCTGTTGCTGCGTTTCATCGTTCATCAAGCTGGTACGACCGACACACACCGTTACTTCCCGCATCTTGTCGACAGATGAGATCAGATCGATTTCACTATCCTGTAGATCTTGGCATAAACGGTACAGGTCCAAATGAAATGGATCCTCTGTGGGATGCAATGTCTGTGTTTGAAACACCGCTTCTGTTTCAACCAATCGGATACTTCTATCCACGTTCATCAAAAACACTGGCGACGGGCGATGCTCCACAACATACACATGAAAGTTTCCATGATGGTACAGGCTCCGGAGTTCGAAGTGACCGGTCCAAGGCGGATCTGTCTCCCTCAGACACGAGGCGCGCTACTTATGATTACACTGCGACACTTCCCTTGCTTTCAGAGCTAAGCAACCGAACAAAGAAGTATTCTTTTTCATTGATGAAAAGTGAGTTGAGTCTGTCACACGCGCACTTAGCTGTTTTAATCATTTGTATTTATTTCCTAACACAAATCACGGTGACAGATGAGTGCATGGGGATCCTATGGAGAAATGTGAGATCTTTTGAAAGATTTGACGAATTGGAAAAGAAATAACCTCTCCTTAATTTGCTGTACGCAGAACGGTAATTTGATTTGGTGATCTCAGTACAGTGGTAGCAACCGCATTAAACCTAGTTCTCTATTTCGGATTACGCGTTGTAGCTGTAGAACACTACATAATTATACCGAGGTAGTCAGGTATTTGTCAGTTAGTCACGACGTTGTTTTAAAAACCGAATTTAAAACGCATTTCATTTAGTAGAACAGTGTCAGTACCTCATAACACAGTGAACGACAACTGGCTTCTTTTCTTCCATTTTGTGTCCGTGTGTGTACGAAAAGACAAGAGAAGCATAAAGTACGGTACAGGAATAAACCTCATATCAATAAAGAGTGCTGCACCATTTAAATGGGGTTATATTTATCTGAGATAAAACTTGTTGATCCTGCGCTTGAATATAAAAAGATTACAAGAGAGAAAAATATCGGCTGTCTCAAAGGGTGATTAAATGCTTTTTCCCAAGCTCCGTGGACAAAGGAAAGCGAAGAAGGGAATTAATCTGCAAGGTGTGCAGAAAATGATGAATGTTAACAACGATGTACGGAGATAGTTGTGAATTTATAGGGATTGTGAAAAGTATGAAAATAACTTCGAGATCAACTATAAGTACATCATAAATGTGTCATTAAAGCGCAATAGCGATATCTGTATGTTGTGCCCAATACCAGCAGGTTTAATCATTATATCGAATTTTAGATATTACAGAAGCGTCTATGATCATCCATTGTGCAACAAAATGGTTTCCAAGAACGTTTTTCATGTGGCTGTCAAATCTTGAAAAGGATTTGCAAAAGAAGCCACCGGTAACCTGTGAACTGTATTGTAACGAAGCATTTAGTTCGCTTCCTTCCAGTTGCTTTCTGCGAAATTGTGAGAGCGCTTATAGTGAGAAGTAAGAGAACACACGAGTGAACAGTAATGTGTGTGTGATAAGGTGTTAACATTTCTGCAAATGTGTTACAGTCTCGAACCAAGAATACAGTTATGTGATACTGAGGAAGTGAAAAGATATGGCGCTACACTTGCAGGGGAAATCCACCACCTAATCGGCGCAATATTTGCATCTGAAAACATTTCACTTTTATTTAACAGAACAAGTAAAATGTCTCGTGTGAGATCGTCAATGGTGCCACTATCCTGTTATCACAATAACTTTCCGGTAATGTTTGGTTAAGTCTATAAAATGGACCTGTGTGAACTTCCAGTAGTTCTCATGTGTAACTGAGACTAAGAAGAAACAACCAGTGTCTCTTTTCGTCAATGGTCAGTCGAAATAGTAGTAGATATGGCACTGTCGTGATTAATTAAAGTACATAAAACCATTTCATTAGCTCAGGTTTCACTCTAGGCTCCTGGCCACACATATCGCTGGCACTCGTTCCAGATAACTCTATTTAGCCATGATCCTCTCGTGACACAGATCATTGTTCAATTACCCACCGGTGCTTTTTATCTGCCCTTCAAATAAAGGGTCTCTGAATTTTACAATGCTCATGGATGCGAACGCATGTGAATGTATAACACAATCCATGTTTTGAAGATACCCACAATAAAACTGAGCAAAGAAAAATCACCAGTTAAAAGTTTTTATATGTAAATTTTCCTGACACTGAAGACAGATTGCTTTATCCATCAGTCTCATAGAAACTATCCTCGGGGAAAGTTGGTACATAATAATAAAATACTCGATGAACCGTCTAGGCTCCCTATCTATCTTACTTGACTGATCTCTGATAACTTTCGGGGTGAATAAAGATTCACACTGTGATGTTTGTACGTTGTCCGCGCCAGTAATATGGATTTGGCTACCGGGGCCTGTTTACACGGTGTAACTTATCACATACAGTCGGTCATACTATAGAAGGTCAATTATCAAACACTGGACAGGAGCCAGACAATTGCGATGGCCATTTGAAGTAGGTCATGAGAAAAAAGTATGATAGGCTATCACGCCGGAAAGGTCACGCTCGGAATGATCTAATCACATTCAGGTGTATGACCCAGACATAGAGGTCGCCCAGGGTCGTGTACTTCTATCTCGCTTACCACTTTCTTTGTCCCTACGTGACGTGCAGTCGAGCCAATCCAACTGGGTTTGCATACCGATCCATCTTAGTGCGAATTGATGGACGCTAATTGAATTTTTTTCGTGCTTATTCTTCACAAATAGCATTAACTGTTAATATGGTGCCTAATAATAAATAATTTATGAAAAGCACTGAAAGTAGCAATCTTTTACTCCCTTTGTGAGTGTACAATCACGCAATCAACTTTTAGAAAGAGAAATGCAGTCAATCAGCTAACGAATAAGGCTTCTCTTACTTCAGGGCAGTTGAACTCAAACTCATAGAAATCTCAACTACAAGAAAACCTTATATTTGTTTCGAATTAACATGTTACAAATGCGATTGAGTTTTTCATGTTTTCATAATGTGCCCTTTCAGTAAGCTAACAGATGACGAGTCCGCCATTGTTTCAGATCTGGAAGAGAGTTTGGCTAACCTTGTATATCATTTGCCTAGATCTTCAGAATAAACATTTCCAACTGTTTGAGAAGAAGAGCTTTTCGGCTGTGTCCAATATCAGTAATTTATTTTGATAATTCATCAACTGATCACTACCGTTAGATGGGGGTTATCTACGATGTTAGATTAAACATGCATTGTGTCAATCAAGCATGTGCTTTGCTTGTGTGCATATATGTATGTATACAGGTATTGACCCAACTCGTGCAACATCCTGATTTTCATCACATGTTTTCCTCTCAAAGCTTCGCTTTTCCAGCCTCATTCAGGGGATTGAACATGATATTGCCCCACATCAGACGCAACGTATCTGATATAATACCCACTTATGTCATTCAATATTGAATCTATCATTAGTCATTATGTAAAGAAAAACCTTTTGAAATTATAATGAACAATCATCCGCTTTCGTGTGTTTATACACTTTGATGCTTAATGTACTCCCTCCAGTTTGTACATGACGCATTCAGGATATCAAATACCAGTCTCTCTTGACAATCAAGTTATTTTGATAATTCGCATTATATGAATGCGATGTTTGCGCATAATCAACTGATGAACTTTTAATGTGTATGGATACGATGAACACATGGTTCGCGATCTGTCGGTCCTTTTGTCAAGAATAAGCGCTAAACGATACGCCACAATCGCTCACACAAATCCATGTATTCGATCGTCAGAGCTTGGTTCACACGCGGTCAGATAGTGACCAGATCAAAGAGCAGTCCTCCTCTGACCCGAAGTAATTTACCGAAGCGCACATCCGCAATACCGAAAACACATCATGTCTTCTCGCTGTGGCCCATCAGTAACTGAACCCACGGAGTAGATCGATTGCATGATCTTTGTTTACCTATATTTGATTGTGTATAGTAACCAATAGGGTAAGTTATTTGGGAAAAATAGGCAAGTATGCTTTTCGGGCATAATTGGCTACCACGTGATGTTCGAAATTTTCTTTTGGTCCTGTTTGCAGAATACATAGGACATTTGGTTACACATGGAAAACGGGTTTAACTCTATACTCAATCACACGATTAGAGGTTACAATATCAGTTAGATTTGGTAGCATGCAAACAAGCGCACACACGTTCGCGCGTGACCTGACCTCGTGCACTTTTAGTACACCGAGTTGTCAAAATCTTGTTGGCAGGAGACGGCTATGTGGTAAACCAGGACATAAAGGGACTAAGATAAATTGGGGTGTCCATGACCCCGACATAGTGTAAAACTGGCAAACAAGTATCGGACTGCAAGGCAAATTTGGCCTCAGTGATAATAATCTACGTTGATATTGATCCTGTTTCCAAGAGAATTTGCGCTTGCATTTTCTATTATAATGGACCTGAAGTTTTTCACTTGCTGAATATGCATACCCGGGTCGATTATTCATAGATTAGTTCTGTATGAAAAATGCCTGGGTTCGACGATGAGTTATACTACAAGGAAGGTTGCTCGTTCGAAGAGGCTATTATCTAAGGGCACTTATGGTTTCCCTCTCAAACCAAATGCGTTTTGTCACTGTCAGGCTATTCGGAAGGTGGGCGGACTTGAATGGGCTTGTGGGTAGTGAAGAGGCTCTACCATTTGACCCACATTCACCCTATAGAAGTGTCAATAAATCACAACTGAGTGGTTTGTCCAACAGTGTTTCCGATCTGGTAAATACCTCGAGTATGAACATAGCTACTGCTTACCAGTCAGGGCGACCATCACTAACGTGTTGCTCTCCTTCATAAGCAGAAGGTTTAGAATAAATTATTTTGTTACTTGGTTAAAACTAGACAAATGAAACTAGAGAAGTAAAAAAATTACATGATGTAAAATACTGATTCCTTCGCAAAGAAGCTGCGTGGAAAATGTTTTTAAGAATTCTTTTGGACCCTTCGGTCCGGGATCGACACAAATCTTATGTCTTTTCCATAACTGAGTAAATTCGACTATTGTTGACTGGTTATGACGAGTACGAACGCGTTTGCAGAAGAAAGCTCTCTTGGGCTTGATCAGTTTGTGTCTTAGTGCACAACATCATCATTATCGCCTGAAATTACCATCGATATACTTGTTGCTCACCTGTGATCGATCTTTCGATGAATAAATAAATTCCTACAAAAACTAATAAACTTTGAGCTCTTATTCTAGTGTTTTCTCACGATTCTTCATCCATTGAATTGAACGAAAAGGGATTCAATTTTCGTACAAACAAGTACCGGATCTTGTATCCAGTCACTTACAGGTTAGTATAACCCTTTGTTTACAGTGCACAAAAGGTAAGAGATGTGTGGCTGTTGGCTTCCTGGGAAAAACAAAATCCCGGACGAAAGCGATGGTGATTTTCATATTTTGTCACAAGTCTTTCAGTTCAATTTAGTTTAAACAGCCATCAACCACGCATTTTCGAGCGTCAGGTTTGGTTGCTGTCATTTGGCTGCGCATTTGGATGAAACATAGGAGGAAGTCAAAGAAGTTGAAAGTTGAGTCTAAGAGAAAATAGAAAAGGTTAGTGGAATAAGGTAGCAAGGAGATCGAGAAGATGCACGAACGCTTCTGTTTACGACACTGTCACATTATTCTCTCGTTCACCCTTGATTGTAATGAGCTCAAGGTCGCCTGTCCAGGGACCCTAACGCTATATATATGACAGACTCCTGGTGAGGATTTTCATATCCTTGTGCCAGTTCTTGTTTTGACCACCCTTGCCTTTTCCATCCACTGCCTACCCGGCAAATATCGCGCACCGTGGAAAACTATTTGGTGGCATGCCTAAAACACGCCTCAAAAAATAATCAATGTGGAACGATCACTTGTTAAAGTGAATGACCGCCATTCTCTAAAACTCTGTGCCGAACCTGAGCATTGCTCGCCCGGTTTCCTCATCAAATCCGTATAATGCTGCGTAAACAGTGATGTTCGAATACCGACAATCTTTTTTTTACCCTGTCGCAAGCATGCGTCAAAGTATTTCAGCACAGGCAGTCAACTTTCTCCTCCGTTGACAGGTCCTAGCAGTTTAGTTGTTTGTTGAGAAATGGGATACCCAAGGAGCTATAGTAACTTTCGAGAAATCTTCTATCGACGTGAACCCGGTAGGGTTGGTGCGTGTGGTCTTAATTCGACGATGGTTTAGACGAGGTCACGCTTTCTTGGGTGAAGTCCCACGTAATAGAAGTGAGCTGACTTGACTCCAAACTCGCATTAATTGGAAAAACTGGAGAAGGTAAACAATGTTTGCCTTTGGGTGGCTACGTCTGTTCCATCGGACAAACCATGGGGACAATGCCGACAGGAATGAGTTTACCAGCCCGTCTATGGAATGGCCACAATAACTGGATCGCCGTTTAGGGCCGATTGTGTGCCACCCCACTTCGACTGGTGGTCTTGGTTGGTTTAGAGACGGCAGTTGAGGAAAAACGATAAACACATTGTAGCTGGAATCTCTATATCTGTGCGAAATTGTACGAGTCTGAGGCTACAGCGGTTAAACGAACTATATTAGACAATAACGACTGGACATTAATCACGTGATTGAATTCCACGGGGTGCGTTGACCGCACATGCCAACGAATAGGTTTCATCGACGTGCCATATTTTGCGAGACAACTAGACGACAAAAAATGGCAACGGAAAGTCGGAATTCGGTATGACAGTGACCAGAGATGTTGGACGTAAATGTATATTTGTGGATATTGGAACCAGCTTAACCAAAGGTTAGAGACACTCATACGTTTGATTGTTGCAGCCGATTGCACTTGCCCATTCACTAATTTTCTACTCAAATTTGATTTGTCCGCTTTTCGTATTTCAAATAGATTTTCACTCCTATTTTGCCAAATTATTTCATCACTGACCTATTAAATAGTAATACTTGAAGCAATGAGGAGCAGGTTTATTGAATGCACAACCTAAAGAGGTCAGCTAAATCTCCCAAATTCAAAAACGCGCCACTTGCGGAGTCTAAGATTTTCATGGATCTCTCTTTCCTAATTCTAACAGAATATTAGGCACTGAATATATGATTTTTTCTTTTTCCATAAACTGGTCAACTGAGAGAACTCATTCTACCTAATTCATACCAATATTTACTTGGATCACTAGACGTGAAAATGAACTGGATCAACAATCACCCACCGTTAGACGAACCCAAGTGCGGCTTTGATGGCGGTCGTTGTAAGACACCACCCAATAGGTCTCTGGAGATTGGATTTAGTGTTGTTGCGGCTCTTCTCTTGATCTTGGCCGTCAGTGGTGGTTTTGTCTATCGGAATCACAAATTCGAACTGGAATTGGAACGCCTGTTGTGGAAAGTGGATTCAAGAGACATCGCGTTCCAGGTATGTTCGTACACAAAAATATATCAAATAAATAAATTTAATTAAATAGATAAATGTTTGCATCTTTGCCGCAAAATCTTTACTAAGACGTGAATTCATCAACGCACACGGTAGTAGGCAATATAAAAATCCTCGAATCGAACCATGAAAACGACAAAAACTCACTTGTCTGACTTAATTGTAATTGTAATTATAACTTTTGTAGGCTTAAAGCCTATATTTCAGTTAAAAGTTTATTGAGTGTAGAGAGAGAGGGGGGGGGGAAGGAGTGGAAAAAGGCCAATGCCAAAACTTTTAATAACGCCCATATAAACCCGTTCTTTGTTAACTAGAATACGTGCAAAAGAAGGTAAAATAGAGTTGTGATATGTTTATTCGAGAGGTAACAGGACGGTATTGGGATCTAGTTGACGAATGGGAGCAACAAGATGTTAAATCTATATGTAATGGATATGTGGGGTCGGTAAGACTCTTACGTGCAAACGTTCCACATACATCCAAACAACGTTCGCACAGGTTAGTTACCAACGCCTTCAGCGGGATTGAAGACGCAGTTAATGATAGTCACTTCATGTCGAAGCAGTTTAAAATCCTTTTTTAGGAGAACATTAAAGTAAAACGAAAAAAACGCTGGTATACAAATGGGGAAATAATCCATTTCTGAATACAAAACTGACGAAGTTTACGGATATGGAAAGGAAGTCGTCGAAAATTCCTCGAGATATCTTGAATATGAGAGGTCCGATTAAAAATATCGTCTATAAACCCCCAGGTATTTAATACAGGATACGGGTTCAGAGCTAATGAAGGCTGCTTCAAATGGGAAAGAAGAGCGTGATAGCATCAAGAGACATTCGAAACATTTCGGACGGTTATATAAGAGACCTGATGTATCGGAATATAGTGAGGAATCAAAAGAATCTGAGATGTCCTGACATAAAACTACATCCTCAGCGTAGTTGAAGACAAAAATAGGGGAGTTATTATACAAGTCACTAATATATGTACAAAATAAATACGATCAGAGGACTGCAGTTTGGAGTACCCTAAATTTTTCCCCAATGGTTTGATCTTCCTCCAACCTAAACTAGTACATTGAGAAGTAATCAGCAAACCAAGTTAATAAATGCCCGGAACAATCGATGGTCTCCAGCTTACGAAAAGGGGACCTAAGGAAGATGGTCACCGAAGGTTAGAGACACTGAGGGATATGGCTGGATACCGCAAATAGTGGCGCTCGTGCATCTACTCATTGCTCCCCGGACACCATTCTATATGCATAACCATCTTCCACTTGAATTTGCTTTCAACATTCCAATCTTCACTCTCCTGTATTATCCAAATAAGGCACCAAAAGACAGCAACCGAAACCGGCGCACGAAAGTGTATGGTTAATGGTTGTAAAAACTGAACTGAACTGAATTTACGAAGAAGAAGAAGGCAACGATGAATAGAATCAAAGCAGACGAGTAGTCCAGAAAAAACAACGAACAGATTTCTCAGACTCATTCAGGGACTTGGTAGTTTTATGTACAAGTTAGGAAACTGCATTCAGCGTGCATCTGTTCGGTTTGCAGACAAACTGAAGAGGACCATACGGGACATCAAATGAGGACTGAATGCGCGTAATAATAACAAGATCTACTAGTTTAAGACCAACAGAAATTAAAGCGATAGTACAGAAGCGTTTGATTAGAACAGCTGAATTAAAGAATTTGGGAATGGAAACAATTATTATCGTTTTCCAACAGCCTCGTATTCATCAGGTGTTTAAGGAAGTGTTTAAAAATGATGCTGCTTCGCCGTTTGAATATAACCCATATCTCAGAAGGGAAGAAGAAAGACCATGGGGACCAACATTGGATGTGGTTTTCACGGTACGGAAAAAGCTCATAAGTTTTCTTCTTTCGAAATAACCTCTACTTGAACGGCATCATCCAGAACAAATGATGTGATGTCATTGTTTGATGGTCGCATAAATTCTGCTTTGACACTGTCCAGATCCGTTCCCCAATTCGGAGTTTTGGCAACAATGTGATACAATACCAAGTGTGCTTACTATTGTTGCATTGCAGGATCTGGGAGGCGTACGACGCAAAGACACATTCGGCTTTATCTTTTATCAGGTTTGTATAATACCTAAAGCCGTGATGTCTTTATATTTGTACGATCGTTTATTTTGTCCTCTGACTAATTTCAACGGTAGAGAAGCTAATATACCGTTACAGACGAATGGAGGTTTAAATGGACAGTATAGGTTAAACATCTGTTTTAGTGTTTTAGTGAACAAGTTGACTGTATTATGTAAAGAAAGGCAGGAAGAAAAGCACAAAGTAACGACACTAATGGGATGATTGAGGATGAGAGTGTTTCCAGGGGAAGATTGCGAAGGCGAATAGTGATTTGCTTGGTTCTTGTGAGTAAATATCGGTTAGGTCAAAAGAGGTTATGGAATAAATGGATGCGTGATTAAAGTCAACAACAACAATGTGGAGAGTGTCGTCTATCAGGAGAATGAAAGACAGTGTAAATGGATAAGGAAGGATAAAATGTGAGATTGAGTACAAAAGTGATCTATGTATAAACTGGTAATGATTGTGCTTCTATATCGGGAATATGTAGCGAAACATCGAAAAGCTAGAGAATTAATACAGTGGACGAACTACTCAAAAAGAACTTCAGACTTACCACTCTAAGAAGAGTTGATGTAGGTGATCAATCCACCTCCTGTTTACTCCTTGCAGTGCTTTCTGTTCTTACGGAAGTATTTGAAACCATTGATGCCAACTACGTAGTCTTCCACATTTTGGTCGAGCCAGCATACTTGAATACAAACGACACATGTTGCGGTGGATGGGTGAATCGAGGATGCACGTTAGATCCGTCATATTTGCTGAAAACGGCCTGATGCTCGTGCTGAACGATGAGGACAAAGTCATTCTCAATGGGACTGTGCGACTGAACGTTGCTTGCCAGCCCCCGAGTTTGAGTTCCTTCATTTTTATTAGGTAACCGAAAATGAAACAAGGAGGACATTATTGAGCAAATTATGCTTGAAACTAACCAAATGTGACCTTGCATAAACCTTCCAAACGTTCATTGTAGTCATCAGAAAAAAAAATAAATCCAAACGGGAGGAAATATAGCGCAGTCTATCAAATAGCGGGCGATGATTAGTAGCGTTAATACTATTTTATTTTCACTAACTGTCGTTCCCTTTGTTTTTTTACTTTTAGTTGAATATCTCTTAAATGTAGCCGTTTTTTCTTTGCCCGAGTTGTGATCGGTAAAGAATTTGACAACCCACCTGAAGACTACCATGAAATGTGAAAATTGAATATATTTTGCAAACGATGGGAACTGAACGGTGTTTTGCAAATCAATTCTGTCACCTTAATGCATACAGTGGTTTTTAATCCAAAATAAATTATTTTCAACTACAGTTCCTATCCAAATGGGAGCGTAACACAACATATCGTATGAAACTTGACTTCTAGCTGAAGCTAATTATTGGAGAAGTATTTTTTCAATTCTGTGTTAAGTTACTCGGTACACGGGAGAATTTCTGTAGAGCACATCACTCCATAGAATGTTCATGAGAGCGATGCCTCTAGGTTGTCCAAGCTGAATCAAATGCATTTCTGGGGCTTCAAAGCTAAATCCTTCTGCTACTGCTTAGAGCAGCAGTTCGATTTTTTGGGCAACGCATTGGTGTGCAAACCGTAGTTCATTGGGCAGCGTTCAGCCTGAATGCTTTCTGGTGAACATTTTGAAATTACGATTTTCCAACACTCCTGTTAGAACTAGCTGCTCGTGCATCATCCAACCAACTATATTCTGAGGTGGTGGTTTTTTATCCTCTCATTTTATTCGCCTCCAGAAGATAACGTGTAAGAATCCCTTTGACGATACTTTGAAAGAAGCACTCAAGGACAATTATTTTAAGGTTGTGATCAATGCGTGTCCACTCTTGGAAGAAAACAAGGCCAAGAATATAGATTAGTCTACGAGAGATGTTTGTACGTTGGTAAAAACAAACAGAAGTCAATTCAATTGAGAATGCCAGTGATCGATTCAGAGGAACCGAACGTTGAAGTTTATGAAAAGACCAACTTACTCGGATCGTGGCGATTCAATTTCACTTTATTATTTGTAGTTATTTCAAACAGCTGTACCAATTATTGACGCTAGTTGATTGATTTAAATTGCTGGCAATCAATGATTCAATTTCCGGGCTTGAGATCTGAGCCGCGCAAAGGTGTTTAACAGTTGATGTTGGATTAATTCACTTCTGAAACTCAGGCTATTGTCGGAGTGTAATATGCTCCGTTTCTTTAATGTATTCGGTTTGGGTTATCATCTTTAATCAGGCTTCAAACAAGGTGAACTTTACGCTCTGATTGGTGCAGATCTATAAAGTATCCTAAGAAATGCCATGTTTATGAGATTTGTGAAGTTATTAGGGAATTCTGATATTTACGTGATGTTTTAGATATGTAATGATTGCAGTTATCATTTTATACGAAATTACTGCTTCTTAGTGGGCACCGAGTAAAATAAACTCACTGTGGTTACCAGGTTTGAATGGATGTTAGCGGAAATATACCCGAGTGTATCATTTTCACAAAATCTGCGTCATTCCGTTCTTACAGTTATGTTTTATAAAAGAATTTCATGTGAAATTTTTGGACAGGTTCTGGACGACATTCATCTTAGTTCTTTTCCCGGCTGAATAAGATATCTTTTTCTCCAACTGTTGATTTGCTTTTCGCTCGTTTACAGATATCAACTGATTTGCACGAAATGGAAAAATTGAGCGACGTCTATGGGCAGAATTTCGGCTCCCTACTCCGCCTACAGCCACCGAGCACAGACGGCTTGATGAAGCAGGATCGGCAGACGAGATCCTTTGGTCCTGGGTTTGCTCCGACAGTAGGACAGGCAAATATCGAGTTAGATCCATCGGAGCAACTCTTTGCAGAACAGTATCAGTTATTTTCGACGGCCACGAAGCGTAGATCACTAAGAAATCAGTACATGCAATCCACTAGAGTGGATCGCAAGCCCCCATCAGATTTGATCAAACATTCTTTGAACCAACCGGAAATCAGAGAATGCTCCTCAATTCCGGTTCACAATAAACAGTTGAATGTTGATCAGAATGCTGTAAGGCGTCCGGCCGACGGATTACGTAAATCTTCCGGTCGTCATCTCTTATCCACATTACTAACTAGGGAATCTTTTTTTCACCGTCGCGCATCAGATGTCACATCCACTAGTAACCACACAACGCGCACCTCTTTGAAACCTCACGGATCCATGAAAACATTTACTTCCGAACCAGTTGATACAACATGCAATTTGTCCTGGACGGTCCCATTGGTTGGTTCGGCAACCGTACCCGGTTATTTTAAACGACAACTAGTGGCCGTTCATCGAATTAATCTTCGGTACGCGCATATCAATCGAGATGTAAAAAAATCACTGAAATTACTTCGGGACGTGACCCATAAAAATCTGTCTTCATTTATTGGTGCATGTGTAGAATTAGATCGTGTCTGTGTGTTGTGGGAATTCGCAGCTCGTGGGAGTCTTCGAGATATTTTACAACCTGGCCGGCCCATCCTGAAGCCGATGTTTTTGGCCAGTCTCACGTTCGACATCATCCGCGGTTTGACATTTTTACACGATTCCGATCTATGCTATCATGGAAATTTGAAATCGACTAACTGTGTGGTCGACAGTCGATGGGTACTCAAACTGACCGATTTCGGTCTGACAGCATTCCGTTCAGGTGAGTTATTTCATTCTCCCGTTTAAGTTGGGATATTCACATCATTTCAGAATAGATTGATACATGGCACGAAGGTACGGGCGTTTGCGATCATTTGAAATCATTTGCTTTTATACAGCACGGATTTAATATAACGATCAATTATCCTAACGAAGCCTACCATAATCGTGCAAACTGCTTGCAACTGACAAAAGGGAACACCATTCATCATAGTCGATGGTGAAGTTGAGCGGAAGCAATAACCCTAGGACTCCATTTATCGAACTTAGACAACTGTGAATTAATACACTTCGGTCAACGGAGATGCAAGTCTCTATAATTTTTTTGTCTTTTTGTGATGGATATACGTATGAACCTTTTCAGTCTCTATTCCCTCACAAATGTTCGTAACAGGATTTCGATGAGAAATAGAAATTGCAGTAAAAAACTAGAGCTACTTGCAAAATACAGCCTTCATCGTTGTAAGTCCGTCGGTATTCAACCACACTTAAATTGTATGATGAGGAGAAAAGCGTTTACCTGTTTTGTTAGTGTCACGACTTTCCTTTTTTATTACTCATCCCTGTGTGCTGAACAGCAGACCGGGAACGTCCCATTGCTACGAGGATCTGATGTGGTGACCCAAGCTTCGTGACTAGCAGTGGAAACCACATCAGGCCCCATTAGGTCCGGCGTGTTGTGGAGCGGGATGACATCAAATGTGCCTACTACCAAAAGTTACTTGGCGGTGGTGGGGTTCGGACCTCTGAACCTATGAGCAAAAGCATGCCGGTGACGGTGAACTAAACCACTAGACCACAAGTTTCGATCCTGCAGATGAACCGGAATAAGGGGATTCTTTTTTCACCATTATTCAGTACCTGGGTGTGGCTGCATCTGTTATGTTCGGTCTAGACGTATGATTGACTCGAGCGACTCCTGCTTAACCTGCAACAAAATCGTGGAGAGGACATGACTGGAGACAAAATTCAGCGTGCATTTTTGCGATCAAAGTTGGATACTCAAATATATAGATTACATCACGCATACGAGAACGGCGCGGTGATGCATCAATCAGAATACGTCTCTGACTTTTCAACTGATCGATCAGACAAAAATCGGCTGATTTGTTCTACAGTCATCCAATCCCTGCTCAGACTTCCTGGGGCGTCGCGACCATGTGCGTGGTCTGAGGCGGCGGCGTGCGCGATCTGACGTGTTGTTTAAGCTCCGTCCTAACAGCATCAACTTCGGGAAGTTTGTTTCCTCACTTTCTACTAATTTCATTCGACAAAGTATTGAAAATCTGTTCTTGGGTGGACCCAATTAATCTTCGTCTGTGTGCAACTGTCTCAACACCAGTCGAGGTGACATCTTTAGTAGAAACAGTACACCCCCACTCCACAAGCACTGGTAAGCTCCGCAAACGGTCGAAAATGTATTTCACTTGTGTCCATCGAAGGTTTAGTTTATTATGTCTAGATCAGCAGAATACCTTTTGGTTCTCGTTGTTTCAAAAGCCATTCTAAGTATTATAAACCAGCAGAGGAGAACCAGAGGAATGGGTGAACGCGGATAAATGAACTTTGTAATACATTTTCCGTATTTTTCAAACCGACAATCATCGAGTTTCCCTTGTGCTTTCTATCGCGTACTTCGAGCCCAATAAATCATGTACAAGTAAGAACTGCTTTTCATCCACAAAATGTGGGTTAGTGAAATGAGTGACCGGACATATATACGACTTCTAAACAACTAACGAGAATGTTTTACATTACCACACTTCGAGCCTACGCTTACTTTGAGGTTCATATCTAACAAAATGTGAATTCTGTCGGCCTCGTTCCAATTATGTTTTGCATGTTTAAGATGAATTTTTAATTGACCGTTTTATGTATCAGGTAGCAACAAACAAAAATACCAGTCATTCCATCATTGGTTTGCTACTACAATGTTAGTCAGGAATAATAAAAATCCCCCTCAGTGGAACAAACCGCTCATACGTCTATAGGTTCATTCGATTAAATACACAAAGCCCAGAGATATGATTAGCCACCCCAATACCATGTAGCAAATACAAAATGGTCAATCGAAAGGAAACTTGATTAGTATTCTGTCGAACCATGGTTTATAGTATTGATATAATCCATTCATGTGACGGTATATTGCTGACAAATTTTGATGAGTAATGTGGAAAAATTTGTTTTCAAAAAGTTGCAAAAATTCTCTACTCGTTTCTGTGAGGTTTTCTGGCCTAGGAGTATTCCGTAAAATTCTTTCTAGCTGACTTAAACAATATGCGGGCCATGATATGCAGGGAACGGTGTGATACGTTTCGTGGAATGATAGACTTTCTGATACATGTATGCTGGAGTGTTTGATTCCTGAAAGATGAAAGCTGGTTTCTGCTGTGGAATTAAACTGCTGATTTAATAGACTCAGACGGTTTGAATCACATAATTCGATCGGTGGAAACCACACACTCAATTAGAAGAAATAGCTCCCTACGGTGTAACAGATCCCTCGCCATAGCGATATACTCATTCCGTTGATGTATTTCTATCCCTTCCATCTCCGGACTCGTATGCTTCCGTTTATTATTTGTAACACCAGTGAAAACGAAACGTCACGTCTTTTGTTGATAGACCGTCATCCTACGTATCCATACCAACCTCCGCACGTTCAGAACACAGTTCCTCAACACTCACTTTAGTGCACATCCTGAATCGGGAACGGCAACTTTCTATTTTAGGGTTGATACGGACACAAAGTAATTCCATCGCAAACATTGGAGTATCTTCGTTGCACAGTCTCATTCTTGTCACAACAGATCAAACGCTACTAGAGTAAATGCGGTATTTAGCAGCTTCTTTGCATTTCCTTATACTTTGAGATGCTTGGCTCGTGTGTGCGGCAGGATATCCTCCGTGAACGGATAAACCAGTCGCGGTGTGGGTTGGAACCGTCGACAAACAGGAGGTTCTCTGTGAAGAGGGGGTTGACTGTCAATCTGAAAGAAAGGAAATTGCAGACACTATGAACCAAAAGGTTCAGTGGGACAAAAACACGATTCACACTCGAACAGAATGGCAAGCGGAAGATCACGATTGATCTTTTACTTTCCTTTTTAAAACGGAGACTTTTTGGCATTCCACACAAAAATGGTCCAACAAATAATTTGCTGACCTTTTGTGTGCATTCTGAACCGAAATAATGTGGATACCGGAATTTAAATTCTTCCCACACATAAACGGAGGTCAACTGTCACTTAGATCACTCATGAATGTGAATGAATGTTCACCGAGTACCGTTCACGAAAATCAAGTAGTATTATTGTATCTCATGTATTTTTGGAATTGCGAGAACAGACTCAGGCGGTCGATTTGTTCTTAGGGAGAAGGATTATCATTTCTCTTATCATCAGGCTGTTTTTCAAAGTTCATTCAGTGAACATTATCTCACAAGAGTCTTTGATATACTTTGATTAAATAAGTTACCAATGCATTGATTTTATGAACTGCATCATGGAGAAACCCTCGAGAACATGAGAAGTGTTTGCATCGGGAAAAAACGACATCATTTGTCATAGGTTTTGATGGGGTTCAAACATAAAGAATTTAATATTGAAAGGATATTACAAAATAAGTGAACGATGCCGTTAGTCTAGAGATCACTTGGTACGAATATCAAATTCTTTTGTGAAGCAGTTTCGTGAGAACGGCCATCAATTTTACTACATATTGATTGGAATATTCTCCAGATAAGACAGCTGGTTTTTTTCAAATTTCGGCTTTGAAAACCGCTAACCTGATATTGTATTATTGTATTGTATTGAATTGTGTACGGTGTATAACGCTTGCAAGCACTGAAGTTTACATTTGGTTTTACCTGGTTTGATTAACTTTACAATTATCAGCACTAAGTTTGCTGAATTCAAGACGTAATCTCTCAGTATGCCACATCCCTTAAACAAATACGCGACACTGTTGATATTCCAATTCCTTCTTGTATACAATTACAGGTGAGAGTTTTGGTCATCTGTCATCAGACGGCTATTTTTCACGCCTTTTTGGAACACCCCCGGAATTATTGCGCCGTATGTTGGCCCTGATACTCAGCCGTCAATTGTCCGCCATGGCGCATCCTCAACTCTTATGCTTGGCTGAGATGCTCATGTCCCAAGGTTTCATTTTCACATTGAATGATGGATCATTGGACAGTGAAGGAACATTGGAAGAAAATGTGGGCAATTCTTTTGTCGGAGTGGAGCCAGCTGTCCCATTCCGACAGGACTCGAACATGGAGAATCAACCGATAACCACCACTGAATTTTGTTTGGCAGAAAGAAACCAATCTGGTAATGTTCGATTCAACGAGGACTTCCCATGCCATGGAATAGCCAACGGGAACAGCAGAAGTCATCTGTCCAAACCTCGTTGCCACTACTCACTAGCCGAAGAGGGCAAAAGCGATTGCGAGCCGCCACCCACGCCAGTGTTACGGGCTCGTCTACAATCACTGTCTTCGTCGATTCACGTTTCACAACGCGGTGCATCTAGAAGAATGAATGATGGAGCTGTTGCAGCGCACACTCACATGTCTGATCAACCGAAGCTATCTACCATCATGATTCATCCCGGGGGTGCGTCTTTCATGCACTTAATAGGGGAAACGGCGTCTCGACCAGCAAACAGTTCCACAAACGTGAGGGTAGTCCGTTGGTCGGAAACCAGTGAACCACAACTGTCTCGATTATTCAGATGTTCTAAAAAGGCAAGAAATGTTCCAATTTTAACTAAAATGTTCTACTTTATGAACATATTATGGTTATTCATTTTTGAATAAGTATGCTTTAACTTTATTTGACATTGGTAATAAATTCAAAGTAACCAAATATTTTTTTTATCTTCTGGGGCAAGATTATTTACATTTTGAATAAGATGTATTTAGTACAAAGTATTTCCGTTAGAGCCGGCAGATGGATACAATATGATCTATTCTTTTTTTTCTAATCAGCACTCAACCAAACATTAACGATGTTGAAATTCTCAAAGTTTCACTTTCCTCATAGACCTATGAACTGATATCATAACAATTGCAAATTTTCTTTGTCTGTAATCGAAACCATCCCACTTCCGTTGCAGGCAGCTGAGTGTAAAGGTTATTTGACACAATGATGTACGATTCGTTGTTATATGAAGACAGTTTTTCCAATCTCCTTCCATCCTGTTCTGACTAACAGGTGCTCTATGGTGGTTTATTCACCGTATCTCGGCGTCCCCGTTATTCATCTTTGAAACGCACCCGTTGGAAGACCACGCTCCGCGCGTGGTTAACGAAACGACTGTATGCGAGTACGCTTGAGCGATCCGAGAGGGAGATGTCTTTTACTCGAAGTCAATCAGAACAGCAAACTGTCCACCCTAGGGCAACCATGAGTTCGACGGATACATTCAGCCACTTGCAACACGGACCTCGTGATTGCAGCNTGCAGCCATGCCTCAGACCGGGAAGTCGGAAGTCACGGGTACAATGCGAACTTCGTTACGCCAATCACATACTTGAGCCCACCAGTGATTACCAGCTGCAGTGCGATGGGTGCCACTCAATCTCGTAATCGAGTTCGACTGCCCGAAGTTCGAGATCCAATAGGATCTATGCGAATGGCCGATATTTACGCATTCGGTATTGTATTGTTTGAGCTCTACCTTCAAAATGGGCCTTATGAAGAGAGTCGGCATACACCACAAGAAATTATTCGTCGAGTTGTGGTACTCAACGATCAGTTTGGAGTAAGTCGGATGGAGGTGTAGGGGATAAATTGGTAATGTTTTTCTTCCGCTAATACATCAACGGGTATATTTGGTTCATGATCTACTCATATCTGTGTGTACAAAAATATTAAACAACAAATGTACATTATACACAATATATATACATTATACATAATAATATACAATAATTTTTAAGTGATCTGAATAGCTTGATGACCAGTGGGTCGCTCCCGCTTCGCACGTGTTTATGGGAATAGAATCAGAATAGTTCTTGACTGTTTATTCACTGAAACGCTTAAGAACAGAGCACATCGAGATAACTAAAGTAGTTGTTCACAGTCATAGTGTTTTTTCTCTACTATTTAAAATATTAGGCCGATCCGATGAAGAAAAGCTATGCGTCAGACCATAAGATATCTTCCCAAGAACCATTTTTGATTGTCTTTACCTGAGTAATGCTACATTGTGCGCCATCAGTGTAGTTTGGGCATGCAGATCATTGAGTCTGGTTTCTCTATTAGGGTGCCTCTAACTTTTATAGTGATGTAGTGAATTTCTTCGTTTAACAAGTGAAGCATGGACTGAAAAGCTAGCAAGCAGGTATTCTAATCAGCAGTGCGTAAATATCGATCTAATTGAGGATCGAACCCGGAACTTCACATGTAAAACGCAAACCCATTTGATCATCAGGTAGCCCACTAGATAGTTTTCCATTTTGCCTATACATCGTATACCACAATCCATCTTTCCGAGGTTGTAGTGACAACACACTTGGCTCATTTCAATACTGACCTCCAGAATTAGTACTCTGTTGAAAGCATTCATTCGCTACTACCATGTAATATTTTATACTTTTTCAAAACCGAGAATATTTGAGAGTTCAGCAGGATTTCGTTTTCGGTGAAGCAGTGGGCGTCATTGCCGTTACTTGAGTTTGGAGACGTATATCTTTTGCAGTTGTGTATCGGGTAGACTAGCTTGATTATGCCCCTTCAGTGTGTGCACGTTACCAGTGACCATCCGGCTTATTCACCTCAACTTTTCGATGTATTTCTTTCCGAGAACAATTTATATCAACTAGATCGAGTAAATTTACCGCCTGAACATATGTTTTCAAACTCTGTATGTAAAAATAGTTTTCATAATTGATGCGATGATCGGAAGCCCACTGTTTCTGTTATCCGCAGCGTCAAGGAAACAAATTCAATTGGCCTACTGCGAGACTAGTCCGGGAATTTTCTGGAAGGGAGTGTGAGCATTCTAGTCACCTTGCCATCGATATCCAGTTATGTTGATGCAAAACAGCCCAACCGGCTAATGCAAGCTTATTGTGCATCAACGTTCTACTCACCTTATCACCTTTAGTTCCATCAGACAATCTAATTTTACTCAACTTCAAGCGATTCACAATTAAGTTCAGAAATAACTTCACTGCAACCGCTACGTAATCAAATCTATTGGTAAATCGTTTGCGATTCGTGGGCCGTTATCATAGTTAGTGAGTTCCTTGATGGGTGTCAAGTGCAAAGATGATAATTCTTTGATCACGTTATTTGGAGAATACAATTTCAAGTTAGGATTTCCCATCGCGAGGAATTGTTTTAAGACTACCTTATAAATACTCGAAGAAATGATACCTGCATGTTCCATGTAAACTTGGGGATTGTTGTGAGTTGGTCACTGGTTAGTAAATGGCACGTTAGCCCTGTTTCGAATGCTACGGAAGTCTAGAACCTGTCCGACTCTGTCTGTCAGCCCGCCCCCTGCCTATATCGCTTTCAATTAGTTGATTGAGTGATCTTCGGGCGTCCATTATCAGTCTCACTGTAGAAGACATTTCATCTTTGAAGACCAAAGAAAGCGTGAGTTGAAAAACTAAAAGACTGTAGGGTTTTTCCACCTAGCTATGTTCCATCTGCAGTAAATCGTGCATGTAAATCAATTTTACACTGAACCAATCAGATATTGGTTAGTAAGTATTGATTTAGCTAAGTAACTGTATGGAGAGTTTTCGCCTGCGTCAGGTCACAAAGTTCACTTTTTTGTTACTGCGAATCTATCCGGGTGCTTTTACCCAACTAAACCATACCTTTTTCCATCCGCTGTTTGAATTGTCGGAATAATAAACCATGGAGAACAGTATTATCCGGCATTCTTTCATGCGCTTACTGGAGAAAATGGAATAAAATAATCATTTTATGTAGATTAACAACTTTGTTAAATTAATTTCCACTATTTTCTAGTAGTTTTCTGGAATCTACACTGCCAAACTTCTAGCAAAACTAGTTATCGGCGAATATTCCTCTTTGATTCCTCTGTTTCTTCGTTTGTCTAAATCCTTTCCTCATTCGCTTGACAGGTTCCATATCGACCGAAATTGTCCTTACTTAGTCGTGAAGAAAAGTATTTGACGGATTGCATTGAAGCTTGCTGGTCTGAGGAACCGATGAATCGGCCATCGATTAAAGTAAGTCGAATAAACGTTTGAAAACACTGTTTTACCGTCCCGCATTTGATTAGATTAGTCAGTGATTAGCGATCTTGTCTTCATCTTACGATTGTTATCTGACTGACTATGAAAATCACTTTTACTTCCCCCTGCATGTGTACCGATGCAGCGAAATCACCTTGGATACATTGTGCAAATCCATGGTTCTGTCTTCTCTATTCTAATATATGTTTCTTTTCAAAACTATAATGATTATTAATTAGTATGTTTTTTCCAATTGGTACATTTCACTTTAAATTGTTCTCTTATCCAAATTAAGAAGACCCTTTTCGGTGTTCAGCACACAGAACAAAATTTGTTCTCTGTTGTGAAAAAAACTGATACGTTTTATGGTTCACTCACTTGTTTTCCAATACGCTTTCTGATGTTCTGTTTCCCCATGAAGAAAAACAGACAACCAAGGTGAGATTGGGAAAAAGCAAAACTAAGCTTCCCGTACTTTGTCGCAAAAACATTTCCATTTGGAAAGGTAGCAGTGAAATAGATCCCGTGCAGACTTAATCGTCACTCACCAACAATGCAGACCGTGTAACCTATAAACGGTGCAAAAACAAAAGAGAATGAAGAAAAATGCGATAACAAAACATTAGAGATCATTCGTTTCGAACACGATGTTGTGCTTTTGCGGTCAACTAATTTGATTTTGCTTGTTTCGTGATGGGTCTCTCTCTCGTGTCCATCGGCTCAATGCGTGCATGTGGGTGCGTCTACATGCACGTGAGCACCAGCTTATTCTAGTTGTTGACAGAGATCTTAATCAGCCTGTGAACAACATAAACGACCAAACAACTCTGTGCGTTTCTTCTCCCCCACCGCCTCACTCTAGGCACTCAGGTTAAACCGACCGATGAGATGCGACGATGTCAAAATAAAGTTGTTTCATTCAGTCTCACGAGGATTTCCTGTTTAGAGCAGGTGGACCGAGGTGGGTTGGGTGGCAGATTAGGTGTTTGCACAGATAGAAGCAACCATTTTGAAAGGAGAACAGTAAATTATGAACTTATACTGTGCAAAATCGTTAGAGAAAATGAAACATTGTTGTAAACGTTATCATTCGTCTGTGAGCAGTTGCTGGACATTTCCAGTTGTGTTATATGCACAATTGGCTGCGGTATTATTTATTCGAAGTTTGTCTGTTCGAGCCATCTCGCCCCAATCATCACCAACACCAGCGGTTATTCAGAAACCGAATAATCTCACCAGTTTAGGACTTGTTTTATCAACTACATGACTATGGATATTCGTGGGATCAGTGCATATTTATTTATAGTGATCGCAGTATGATGTCACTTGACAAATACTGCTAAAATGTGATGGTGTCAGTTCTGGCTGATGAATCACTTGCTTACGAGCGTCAGGCGACGTGGGCTAGTTATTATTTATTGCAGGAAGTTGCATATTCCCCAATTATTGAGTTATTCCGTTAGAATGAGAGAGAACAACTGGGAGCTCTGAGTTTTTTCATCGGAATCTATCAACATCACCGACAAATCTTTCCTTTTCATGTAGGTAATGGACTATTTGATTTGATTTAATTTCACAGGTGAACTCGTCTTGTATATAGCAAATGAAAGGTAAACTACAAAGCTAGGAAGCACTGGATGGCTGTTTTGACCTGGTTGAGTCTCATCAGCAGTGCGAATCCATCGACCCAACTGGGGATCAAACCCGGAACCTCAAAGGTAGAACGCAAGCATGCTACCCACTGAGCCACCGGGCATCCGATCAGACCGTTTTTCATGACCCATTTGCACGATACTGCACAACTTATTTTTCTTTTCCTTAACGTTATCAGAGTTGTCCGAAGATTTATTCCGAACAACCACAAGATCAGAATCTTTCAAATCGGAGGAATCCGAAGATTCTTCATTACTGTTAACATAGTATCAGGAAGTAGAGGATGGTATTCCGTAACGTAGAGACAAGCAATCGGTCGGGGTTTACGCTATGCTTTCCGCTGCTAGTTTGATTTAGTTGGTTATTCTTCATGGTTACCGCCATCTCTGTCCGTACACATGCATACATGAGCGTTTTTCCGATCATCACACTGATTATGGGTAAGGTAGCGCTTTCTCAGCACAGTGATGTGACAGCAACAATAAATCATGGTCAACTTTTCTTTGCAGCCAGCTCACAGTTATAATCTCCGGGTGTTTAGGGACACGTGAGTTCATAAAAACGTCGAAGGTTTATGATTCACCACATAGAACACAGAGTGAGCAAGCATTAGAAGCGCAGGCCTTAAAATGACGGTAAGTAATAATGCACAAAAGCATCCTGGAGGTTTTCATAGCAAAAAGAGACTGACTATCTCCTACTGATCTGCAAGAATTTGCATCGGCATTGCCCTGTCCCAATTATTGTTTTCGCTACCTAATTGAATGTGTATCTACCTACCGATTCCGTTCTCTGCTATTTTCACGTTCTCCGATTTACTGTGGCTCCAAAGATCACTGGTGTGTGTTTTATGTTCACAACTGAAGCTAAAAGCTCGGGTGCCTCGGTAACTTTGTCGCGCATTATTGTTTGCAGGTCGTCACAAGTGCTAGAAAACCTCTCTCAACCGAAAACTGAAGTATTTTACTGATGCCGTGTGTACTAAAGATAAACGACTGGACTGAATAACACTACACACAATAAGTAATTTAACAGACATCCAACATTTTTCTGTGATTACCAGGGTTTATTATTCGTTTTCCCTCGTAAGCCGAACGAGCAATTCACTCGCAAGCGATTTAACCTTGGTTGTGTTGACATCTTCACTGTTCGTAATACAACCATGTGCTGCTACTGTCTATCTATTTTTTCCTCTTCGGAAGTTTTGCGCGGTAACTGCATTGTAATCATTAAAGTTTGACCAGCCTCGTTTCTGTGTTTGTGAATGAACCGCCAAAATGACGCCTGTCTGACTTTGCCATTCTCACAATATTCTATTCTACATCCTCGGGTTCTAGCAAATCGCTTCCCGTCTGCAACCAATGGCATCGGATCAGCACACAAATATCATGGATCACATGATGGCCTTGATGGAGACATATGCCCAAGAACTGGAAAAGCTAGTCACCGAACGGACCACGGAGTTGATGCAAGAGAAGCGCTTGTCCGAGGCACTTCTTTATCAGATGCTACCCGTACCGGTTGCAGAACAGCTCAAGAGAGGCAAAATGGTAATGTCTCAATATTTTATTTTCTCTCACTAAACACAGTTTATCGATCAACTTCACGATAGAAACGAATAAAGAAATTGCCTTTCAGTTGTGCAGAAGTTGAGTTTGAAACACAAGCATATTTTAAATGTGCCAATGTTGGAACAATAAACCATTTTTCTAGAATCGTTTCCAGTTTATGAGTCCATGGTCCACAACAAATGAATGGGAGGAAAAGGATTGCTAATATATTATTTACGATAATATCTTTAATCGCCTACCAGCATACTATAGATGATATCTTGATCAAGATGTTATGCTACTGTGCCGACAAACAACAACACATTTTGCTTTGGTACTAGTTAGGCAAAATGAACCCCTTGTGGTTCACTAACCGGCAAAGGTGACGAAACATTTGTTTCAATCATTTTTAACCCCTTTCCTATACATCAGTTATGTAGCCGTATGGTACGGATAGCCGATTTATGGGCATTTGTGGGAAGAACGGGGATAGGATTGGCATTTTGGTAAGAATAAGATACTATGTGAATTAGAGGAATACATTCGTAAGCAAGCTACCACACACTTCCCACTCATTGAGCTGATGTCGACGGAATACATTGTTCAATTCATACTAGGACTAAGCAACTCAAGTGCTTGCATCAAACAGTTTTGTGAACACAGATTGGGGGCCAAAAAGCGGTTGGTCAAACATTTCGTCGTGTGGAAGTTCCATATTTGGGCTGCCTTGGTTGGATCGGGAGGTGAAGCAATACAAGCTCATGCTTTTCTCGTCTCATAGGTTCGTGTCGTGGGTAAAAGACGGTGATATATACATACATTCCTTGTGTAGAAATGTCACATGATAAAGGGCTTTTTCCACTGCTGCACACAGCTTCACTTATGTTGCAATGTAAGGCGTGCTGACGCTTCATCAAGTCTCAATTTGAAAGATTCAACGCTTGGCACACAGACGACATGGGGTGGGAGAGAGTTCCAGACCGAACACACTCTGACTGCGAATGAGTGACACCGGCATCTTGAGACCGCCAGTTTCAACGAATGTCCTCTAAGATGAACGTTGGGTGATAATTTTAGCAGTGGGCGACACGGATGGCTTGGGTTTTGCATTATTTGGTATACCATAATCATGTCTCTGATGCGCTGGTAGTAATTGAAATATAATCCAGCGACTTCAGTCTCTCTGCGTATGAGTAACGATTTAACCCCCTAACAATTTTGGTGGCCATCCTTTGTGGACGCCCCGGCAATGTGCAATCATTTTGTAGCCATGGATTCCATACCTGGATAAGGTACTCTGTGAGTGGGCGATTGTATGCTGACAGCAGACGGGCGAGAAGCGCTTACTCAAACCGGCCAAAGACATGCTTAAGCAAACCCACATTCTTTACAGCTTTCTAGAATGATGATGCCCAGGTCCTTCTCACTTGAGGCGTGTGGCAGTTATTCATTTCCGAGTAAATACGAAACTCGCCCTTTGTGTCGTAGAGATAGAACCCTGCATTTTGTCACGTTGAATTCAATGTCGTTCAAAAGGGACCAAAGATTACCTGCTTTCAGCGTTTCCTGTATTGCCAACGAGCCCTTTGGTTGCGTCACTGTATTCCAAAATTTGGCTTCTTCCGCAAACAGTGGATTTTGGCCCCAGACCCTTCGACAGATTGTTTATGAATGTTAGGAAAAGTCGCAGTCCAAGTTCAGATCCTCGGCTAACGTCAATGGGACTGGAAAGAGAATCAGAAACACATACCGATACGGTCCGATGTCGGAGAAATCCTTTGATCCAAACAAGCATGAGGCCCCGAATACGGTGATTACAGGTGATTACATTCCGCAGTAGAATGTCGTGGTTCACCTAACCGAACGCTTTTGAGAAGTCTAGATAAATAACGTCTACCGCATCGCCGTTATCAACTGCTTTTGTCCATCCTTCTCTTGCGATGAGCAGATTGATAGCACAGGATCGCTTCCGTCGGAATCCATATTGATTCAGTGACAGAACATTGTTCTTCTCTAAGTGTTTCATCAGGGAATTTGCTACTTTGGACAACACTGAAAAGAGGGTTACAGGGCGGTAGTCAGCGAGATTGCCCCGGACACCGCCTTTGTAAATGGGTGAAATTACTCTCTGCTTCCACGACAGTAGGATTGCCGTGTGATCGAACATCCTCTAGAATAGGAAGGTTAGTGGCTCGGATATTTGATTCTCCAAGCAGATTAGGGTTTGTTGGTGAATATTGTCTCCACCTGGCGATGAATACTTCCTTAAAACCAATAGCTTTGCTTCAACCTTTTAGGTAGTGAATGATACGGTGGTTCGTAAAGGATGTGGAATATTATGCATCCAGTGAGGGCGGCACAGTCTTTCATTAGTTGACACAGCAAATTTCGAGCATACTCTTTCTTCATCATTTCAGCTGCTTCCATTGTATTGGCTGTAGCTCTTCCAGAAGAACAGAGCACCGGTATTCCATGTTTAACGTTTTGAGCTGAGTAACATGTTTGTAAAAAAGTTTGGGGTTTGAAATAAATCTCTGTGCTAGAGATTCTTGATGGTTTAGTTTATCTTCGTGCACCAATTCGGTGCATTGGTTTCGCAGGAGTCAGTAATTGTTCCAGATGCATGTATTTGGAAGTCGTTTGTGATTTCTGCAATAGAGATCCCTCGAAAATATCCATTTCTTTGTACGGCTTCGAATAGGTGATTTCCGACCGCTGGTTTTGGTAACAACTTTTACCTGCTTCACTGACGCTAGTATTTGTTGCAGACTGTAAATAAATTCCTGTCACACGGCTATGAGATATCCATTTGATGGAAGGAGTCAAGCTCTGCAACTTTGCATAGTTTATGAACTCTTCGTTTGTCAACACTCAATCCAGTATGGATGGTGATTGCAAGTCTCCAAATCTGGTATACTCCTTCACGTGTTCGTACAGTGGATGTGAGGCAATTAGCCTTATGAGGTGCTGTTCGAATAAGGGATGAGAATTCATCAGTTTGTCGAGGTTGGGGCAGTTGAACTCACCCATCAGCAGAACATGTGTAAATTTGTTTTGCGAGAATGTGTAACATAGTATTCAAAAGAGTCGTATTGATTGATTCCGTAGATGACCGGGGGGGGGGGGGNGGGGGCGGGGGGGGATGGTGGATGACACCAATCGTCGTGTTTGGACAATCTCAACCTATACCACAGAGTGTCAAGTGGCAAAACATTGAACTTGTTTTTCAGGTCAGTACTCCGACCAATATTAGCCGGCTTCATTGATCTCGAGCGAGACATCTCTGCGGACTTCACTCAACCGCCTAGTCCTACAACTTACGATAGTCGCATCTTCCACACACCCGTAATAATAATAACCATTCAGTTTGGGCAGCGTTTTTTATCCACAGTAGTGTAATCGATGTCATCCAGAAAAAGTCTTAGTTCACCCACAAGATGTGTTCCTACTACAACCAATCAGTTAGAATCAGACAAATCATGTGCATCTATCATTCATAAATACGGTGCGAGTGTTTTTCCTCATCCAGTTTTCGCAATGAGAACAGCAACAGGTCCATTTTTATACAGTATTGACGGAGGTCACAGCGAATCTGGATCTATTAAAATATTCGACTGTTAAGTAAACAAAAATACTCTTCACTATCAAAATGGGATGCGACACAATGGTAGGGACAAGAAACTAATAATGTAAATATCCTTTACCCCATTACAGTGTATTTATCCAATTGGTGCACGAATATCAGTGTACTTCTTCTGCATACTGCTTACCAGCTTTTTACATGCCTGGTAGCCGCCATTCTCCCATTAATAAGTTCAAGCCGGCCTCTAGTCCAGGAGCGAAACTATTGGTTTTGGAGTTTTGATATGTTCCCGTGTCCAACAATTCCCGAAGGCTCTGAATCGGTTTGCCATCATGACCGCAATCCATTCGTAAAATCCTTTCCAGAAAATGGTCCCTGTCTATAATGTGTGGTTGTGTACTGTCGTATTGGGAATGTGCACTTGCACCCATTTTCATTATAACCGCTCGTCATAAGGAACAACTATTAAAGTGTTTTTATTAGCAGTTATATTTTTCCCATGGTTCAGAACAGCCGACTAACTCTATCCAGTAACTGAAAACCCAAAATAGACCACGATGGATGGTTTATCATCATATTACAAATTCAATACGATTTATCCTTCCCTGATACGAGTAGTGATGCAAAGTTTTCGACCTGACCACGGTGGCGTATTGCAGTGACACCATAGCTTCTCAACTTTGAATGAATCCATTGTAACTTCAAGTGAATAAAACCAATCGAATTCTAAGGATCTTCACAAAGTGATTGATCGTTCTGCCGTCACACGTCATCGATTCAACCCGATACATGAAAACCCCATCTAGTCAAAATCATCTGATTAATCTACAGATAAACAAAAGTACTTTTTGGGTGAGTTACCGTGCGAGGGTGAAAGTTTCAGTGGGTGGGGTGGGCTTTGACTGTTCGTCCCCCACCACTACCCAGGATCAGTGTCCATAACCGTTGATCGTGGGAACTTAAGAAGGGAATGAACAATCCCATCGGTCGACCGAGTAAAAGAGCGAATCACGTAAAAATCGCTCGATAAGTCGGTCAACATGCTCAGGAGTGAACGTTCGAATGAATCATCACATGAGTGGGCTCAGTCTAAGCTGTCAATATCCTAATGAATAAATTCCATTGACGCCGAGATCATTTTGAATCAAACGCGATTGCCTACTTATCACTAAAATCGAAATGCACACTAGACAATATACTTAACAATGGCGCAAGGATACTGTGAAAGAATAACCAGTATTTCACCTAAATAGTAAGATCAAATTCAAAACCATTCACTAGATAACAGAAATCACATATTTCTCTGTAACTCCCGAGATGACTGTTACTCTCAATCCACAATTCCAATAGTAACAACCTATCACCTGCAGCTTATCCCCTCGTCACTCAGCTTCATCGCGGGTACAAAACTTTCATCCTTTGTAGAAATCATGGATAACAGTGAGTTACTACCACATGTCCCACTCATTGAACTATAGCGATATAACGGACGGAATTAGTATGTACAGAGATGCAATAAGAATAAGAACCCGCGCTTCACTTGAAGTTACAACGGATACACCGGAAGTTCAAAATGTAGAGTGCGGTAGTTTTTGAGTGTTACTTCCTTCCCGTTATCCTCTTGATAAATCTTGGTATCTCGTTTCATTATGCAAAACACGAAGATGGTAGGGCCAACTTTTCTCTTCGGGCGGCACTTGGCATGGAGCCTCAAAATGCCTTTCGATGTATTTTCCGGTAAAAATCAATCCCAGATTGCAACCTGAATCGAGAGAAGGAAGTACCGTGTTTCGTTCACCCCATTTTGACCTTTTGTCCATGAGTTTTCCATATCTAACAAAATTTTCCATACTTCCTAAATGTTAAGGCCTTCGGGCTCCAGTGTAATTAAACCAGCTTCGGGAATCTGATGACAACGAGACAAGATGGTAGAGATTGGCTTCTCCTCGTGTTTGATGTCCGGTACCTATCCCTCCTCGGAACGCAAGTGGCTCATTTGAACATTTACTGCATATTTTTGACAATAATGCTGTTGTTTGACAGGTAATGACAAAGACTACAATCTTATTTCTGAACTGTTCACAGGGCTGTAACCGTGGGGAGACGTAGGTTTTTGTCTTTCGATTCGTACGTAAAAACCTAACTTCATGAACTAGTTAGTGAATTGCGGAGTTGAAACATTACCAATTGATTGCAGCAGTTGCTTGGAGCACCAGGAGTTTTGTAAAACCAACCCAGTATCATCATTGATCGAAAACATTTTCTCATCCCTTCCCCTACAGGTAGAACCCGAAGCTTTTGACAACGTCACAATATTCTTCAGTGATATCTGTGGCTTTACGGAATGGTCTTCGTCCGCCAGTCCATTTGAAGTGGTCAATTTGCTCAACGAGCTGTACACACGTTTCGATGCTGTGTCCTCGTCCTACGATGTATACAAAGTAGAAACGATCGGTGATGCTTATATGGTGGTCAGTGGCTTGCCCAAACAGAATGGTACGTACTTTCGGTTATGTGACCAAGGGTACAGGAAATAACTTCTAATAATGGAGGATCTTCATCAGTGGGAACTGGTTTGCTGTTATTTTCCATAAAATTGATTTTAATAGGAGCTTGTTTTCATCCAGTGAACAGTCTTCTTTTTTCAGATAGTGTCGATTATTATCGTGATAACTGCTGCACTTCTTATAAGCCTTGTCCATGTTTTCCTACCGCAACAGCTCAGATGTTAGATTGCATAATGAAAGCATGCTTAGTCGATAAACAGCAGACTCAGTCTACAAGTAATTATATCCAGTGAAAATTTAGGATTGAATGAATCAGCCGGTTGATTCTAACAAGTCTGTTTATGGTGGTTTTCCGTAATTGATCTCCTCTTTTCCTATACCCCTAAGATAAATGTTTCAACCAATCATGAACCTCAATTAAACCCGTTATTTATTTAAAGCTTTCTCATGGTATTAGCACTCCTTTGCCCTGTTCTCTTGCATCAAATTAACTGGCATTCTGATATATTACTTTGGGTACTGTGGTGATGCTCACCGTTTTTCACTGTGGACTCCATCGATCTAATCATTCAAGGCACAAAATATGGTCTCCTCATAAGGTGAGTGTCCGGTAGTGTAGCCGCTTATTCATCATATGTGCAATGTCTGGTGAAAAATGTGGTTGAAGGAAACATTGTTCATTAACAGGTTTATGCATGGAGGTATTAAAATACCTCGGTTAATAATCCATTGGTATTCGGAATTAAGCTGTAAAATTTTGACGTTGCGATTCACAAACAAAATTTCAAAACAAAAATCTCAATGGCGAGGTTTTTGCCTATTTAGATGGCCTTCTTCAAAGAAATTGTTAATTTGAAGTGCATAAGTCGAAGTGACGCCCAAGACACAGTAAAATTGCGGCGTACCTGATTGTCATCTTTAGGATACCGAAATCATCGAAGAGAAGTTTCCGATAAAATGGATTCAATTCCATTGGTCAAGGGTGACGGTGTTCCGTTTTTTCCGGCAACAGAGTCCTTTGCTCCAATGGTAATTTGTTAACCAGCTCAAAGAAAGTACGAATTATATATTTGCATTGCGCTTCTCCTTATATTTTACTCTTTTTCCCGGTTTCTGTTCAACCAATACATTATGGTGACCCAGAAAATCACGCCGGAGAGATTGCCAGTATGTCGTTGAGGTTATTGGAAGAAATCCAGCATAATTTCACCCTGGCCTTACGTATTGGAATTCATTCTGGTCCTTGTGCTGCCGGTGTAGTTGGGACCCGAATGCCACGTTATTGCCTTTTTGGTGATACTGGTAAGTTCATTTTATGATGGTCCATCCAAACCGTGTTCACGAGCATTACCTATCTGTTCATTGCATATGGCTATTGCCACACTAAGCACTGTAATGGAGGAAGTTTTCGTCAGATAGAGGATCAAATTAGAGAAACGCCAGAAGCAATACTGTGGACGCACGTGGTCATTTTCATCTAGCCCTTAGTGGCAGAACGGTAAAAGGCGAAGTGAGTTTATTATGTAAACGGATAGACAATAATAATATTTGAAAATAAATCGCTCAATTCGAGAGAATTGCGGTATCGAATTAATGTTAGTATGAAAACCCAGAGTAGACCAAATGTTAGTTTGTTTTTGTTTTTGTGTGTTAAATTTTCGCTACAATTCAACCCGATACAGTTTGATCACGTACTCATCTTTGTTTGTTCCGCTGATACTTTTCACACTGTCTGCTCCGTTCAAATCGCTGGTGGTGTACCAGTCTGACTAACCGTCATTAACCTATCCCGAATCGTTCTGCTAACCTGTGCCAGTTAGCTTCGAACATAGATAACTTCGTTTTACTAGCACCATCAGTCCAGCCTCTCAATTGAAGGCGGATGGGACACCGCGCAGTGTGAAACACACTCAGTGTGAGGGAGCAAGCGGATTTCATAAATAAAATGATTATCTGTTAGATGAATGGCGGTAAAAGTGGTTTAATTAAATTGTTAAATTTATTCGAATATCCTCTTTGGAAATCCGGTCGAATTGAATAACTCGGGTAATTTGTAACCGTGTTTTGTTTAAATGGGAGATGTTCCCTTTAAATGCACCATGTTCGTTCCTCTTTCTCATTAAATCATGATGATTCACTTGAGCAATTCAGCTGACTACGTTTGGTCTGTACTAGACAACCGTGAGGGCATAGTTGATCAGCTCCGACCATAGTTGTCATACAGTAATACAAGCGGGTAGGCCCAAGTTAAGGAGTTCCCCGTTTCAACCACGATCATCATTGTCAGCGAATTTATAGTGATATACAATTTGTTTCGCTAACCAATTAAATGCTCAAATGAATTCACCCCTTTAAAGTTTCTCTCACTTTTGACTGAGATTAGAGTGATCGAGAAAAATAGCTAGCTTGACTATCGAGTTTATTCTACTGCTGCCACATCTCGAGGATTATGGCATCAGGCTTCGGGTACGTTTTATTGATGAGCGCTACATCAACATCATAAAGGTTCTGTCGGCAGAGGCGGCTGGTCACAAATCGGGTTTGTGACATTAGGTGGCACCTGCCTCAGCAAACGGTGGTAGATGGCTATCCTTTTGATGGCTCAAGACACGAAAAGCGTTCCTAGGTTTATCACATTCGTTGGTGTGGGCAATCGCGAAGTATGTCGTGTCCTAAAGTCTTAGGCACCCATTTGGACAACCATCTTTCCCATCTGTTTAGTTCTTCTTCTCAACATCGAATAATCCCAAATGCCTCCTGTTTACGCCATCCATCGAATATCAATCAGCATTTTACAAACAAGACCAGACAATCAGAAGCTAAAGGATTTCTAAAGCCAAAATCCCCTTTTAATCTAACCGCGTTCAATGTCCGCACGCTCTATCAGATTTGCCAACAAGCTGCTCTGGCTAGAACCCTCGAAACCTTCAATTTAGATGTATGTTGTGTCTCCGAAACACACATACAGGACCCCACTTCCATTATTTCTCTGCGTTCTCCTGATCCAACCTCAATCTCACGCTTTACCCTTCGTGTGTCAGGCGATTCGGCATCCGAAGCTCGCGGTGTTGCTGGTGTTGGCATTGCGCTATGTGCCAAGGCTGAGCGCTCGCTTCTCGACTGGATTCCAGTTAGTAGCCGATTGTGCGCTCTTCGTCTTAACGGTTCAGTTCGAGTCAACAGCTACTCCATTTTCTGTTCGAATCCACTTTAAACTTTCTTTTCTTCTCCTATTCTTCATCCAAATGGGCAGCCAAAAGACAGCAACCAAAACCGGCGCACAATAGTGCATGGTTAATGGTTGTACAAACTGAACTGAACTGAAGATTCGTTGCAATCTAGTATATGACGGCGGATTGAACTAGGTGAAGCTTGGACCCGTTAGAAACCAAATTCTTTGGTAATGGCTCTGTCTGCCTCGTAGACAATTATCTCTCGGTTCTTCCGACGTACTTACTACCGAAAGTACATTGAATTGGGTAAGCTCAGGCGGAGGTAATTGAAGAATCGGTTTTTTCTAGGTTGGATTTATTGAGCATTCCTTCTGTCTTGCAGAGAGAAAGAGGCAGCATTAAAAGTTCTTCCAATTGCTTGTTTCAACCTGCGCTGTATCCGCCCATCATTTTGGTGAAAAAACTGCTTTTTTGACGCGGTGTCACTCAGGTCTCGTTTACTCAACGACGATGCATATTTTGCAATAAACTTACCATTGGTTTCCTTTTTCAGGTAGTGTCCTTGTTATGCAACGGAAATCAAAATCTAATGTTTCACCGAAGCAGGTTATCCTGATTCTAGAGAACAAACCGTGCACCGTTTACTGTTTGTGCTGTATTGGACAGAAACATCTAAAATTAAGATGCTTTCCCGTCTAAGTAGGCTTGTAAAATACGGATCCGATGAGAGATCTGTCCTCTTTTCATCAAGTTAACATTCTGGAACTGGAGGAAAGGTTCAGATTCGTGCTCCATCGTGAATTTAACATTGTGACTCGTTGAGTTTTCTAAGCATTGCTCGTGCTTGTGCACTGTCATTCAATACGACAAATGTGTCATTCACGTAGCGCCCTTTGAAGTGTGTATTCACTATACAATGTTGCAATTACGTATTCTCCAAGTTTCCCAATAAGGTATCAACCGGGAACGGTCCTAGTGGTATGTACACAGCTGATGAGATTACTACGAATTAGTTGATTTGCACACACTCTGTGATCACGAAGTTTCTTCTTGCTGTCATAAAAATGTTAAAGTTAACCGGTGTAATGGATTCTTTTGACTGCACTACTTTAGATACTTTCGTTTCCCTAAAGGTGTAAGGCGGCCAGTGAATATCATGAAGTAACATTGGGTTTTCGTATAATGGGCTTCTTCAACATCATCCGACGTCTTTTGAGGGCTTAACCTTAGTCTCTGCACAGCCGAGTGCTGATCATAAGGTAGCAGTGCATGATTTCCTGTAATTAATTGCCCGTGAGCTCATTCCCCACTTGTCAGATGTGAACTTAATCCATAGAGTTATACAAGCCGAATACATTTTCTTTAAAACTCGGTAGATCTTGTGCGCTCACAGGGCAACTGTCAGGGCATGCCATACTTCACCTTACCAGAGTATACATCTGACTTCACAGGTTACAAGGATCCACGTAGAGTGACACGCAAATACCCGGAAGGCGGTCTTTCAACAAGTGGGTTTCTTCTACAAAAGCGGTAGTGAAATGAGGATTGCAATGGTGTAAAATATGCAAACCTCAATCTATGGCTAAGTAAGAAGGTGGACAATGGGACAGTGGTCCAGAGTGTGTGCATGTAAAAGGTGTCCATTTGAAACAGAATCTATTCAACTACCCCCCTCGGATCTCCATGACTTCTCTAAACCAATACATTCTGCCCTGCACACTCAAACATGCGACCAACGTAAATGGTTCAATTTACTCCTGCCACAACCGCAGTCGTATACTGAGAGTGCGCCGTTGTACCACCTACTCTACTCATCCCAGCAGGCATACCCTCCTAATATCTCTTGTAACGATGTTCTTGGTCCTCGAGCTTCAACCTTGAGTAGCCGATGATCTTCGTCAGCTGTAATGTGTACAACACTTCCGTTAAACCATGAGTTCCTCGAGACCTGGTGGTCAATGAGCAATAAGAAGTCACCATTCTGTAGATTGTCTACTCATCAACCATTCTTGATGAATCTGGGGCAGGGGAACATGGTTAGCTAACCATCGATGCCAGAACGTATCACTCAGCAGGATTCCTTGTGTGTCGAGAGTTGTATCAGACAAGTTCGGATTTAGCTTTGGCAGTAGTATGTGGTTTGCTGTTAGCACCTCAATCAATCGTATCGATGTCATCCATCAGGTTTTGCGGGGCAGTAGTAGCAGCAATATCATGCTTTTTTAGGCGTTTACTTGGATGTCTCCCAACTATCGCGCCGGTCTTTGGCATTTCGGGCCAAGGCCTTCTCCACGGTACTGGTACCACTTAATGCCGACCGACCATGTTCATCGGACGGGTTGTGGGATCCATGAATTGCTTGCCTTCTTTCGAGAAGGCCTTTCGGATGAGTTACTCCTTTTCAATAAATTCTGCAGTAGATAAATTCTGTATATCGTCATCAACGCAATTGACTGAGTTGTTAGTACCTCTCTTGCTTCCGCGGGTTCCAAAGATTACCCAACCAAGCATGGTAAGGTTTGTGTGCAGTCGCTTGCTTCTGTCCAGTGGCTGCTCAATGGGCAACCGGGAAGTTCATGCCAATCAGGAGCGAGACTGTATTGTAACCAACGTTGTGAAGCTTCAGATCTGTTAGGTGAAGCCACTGTTTCAGAGGCGCCTCGGTCAGGACGCTATCCGATGCTATTAGATGTTTCTTTAGTACACAGGCTACAACAATCCACGTAGAAACGCGCAAAATCCCGGAAGACAGTGTCTTTAAACAAATGGGCTTCCACAAAAACTGTACTGAAATACGGATTACAACAGTGTAAAATATGCAAACTCCAAATTGTTGCACTATCAGGTTTAAGAAACGCTGGAATATGTGAAGCCTGTATTTCGGCAAACAAGAACTGCGAGCAAGCAGGAGCGCAGCGCGATGACAATGGAACGAATAAACCAAAAAACATCAAACGAGATCACATTGATCCGTGGTAGTTAACGCTGGGAACCAATCGAAATACAGTGTGTATGAATGGTAGTCATCAGGGCCCTAGCTATGACAGTGTGGTCAGCCTGTGTGTGTGTGTGTGAGAGAGAGAGAGAGAGGTGAGAACAACAAAAAGGGCAACGTAAGGAGCAAACATACTAATGGTGCGCCGTACGTGTAAACGGCATGGAGAACAGTCAGAGGCACGGATCAATGGGAGGATGAAATCAACAACATGGGCAAAGTAAGAAGATGGACAATAGGACAGTGATGCGGAGTGTGTGCATGTATAGAGTGTCCGCTGGAGGCAGAATTTATTCAATATATTCAACACATTTACCCTCAGCATGATTCAGCTCTCTTGTCTACGGGTTTTCTAGTGCGTGGCTGACGATGCTTGATGCCTCGTGATAACTGGGTAAAGAATGATGACAAAAGAAGTGAAATAGGTCAAAAATGACACGACAATCTACTCGCTCAGAGGCTTTCCTCCTATCAAGTAGACCTTCCTTATACCTGATGCATTATATGTTCGATTGCTCAGGTAATGGGACACAGCGGTTTGAAGAATAAAAGTAGTGCCCAATGTCAAGCAAGACGCAATGGTGATTTAAATTGCTTGACCGCTATTACTCACACATTGATCACGATTCTTTTTGTCTGTCCTAATTTTACTTTTGCAGTGAATACGGCCAGTCGTATGGAGAGTAGCGGTGCACCGTGGCGCATTCATTGTTCTGAACAGTGCAAATTAGAATTGGGTCGTTTGGGACAATATGTACTCGAAGAAAGAGGTCCGATCTCTTTGAAAGGAAAAGGTGTTGTACGCACTTACTGGTTGTTACACAAGAACCGCTGGAATCAAAACTCCAAGGAGACGTTATTGGTAAGAAACATTGAACTGTGTGTTATTCAAGTTCCGAAAATGTCGCCTTGATAGTATTTGCTTGTGGATCGCCTCCATACGGTATCGACATTCAATCTTCATCTGTATGAAACCTCAAGTGTGATATGCTATACAATTTCAAAACTAATCTCAATTCTCCTTTATGCTAAAATATCCAACACATTTTGCCGGTTAAATCTGACATTCTTCAGACTCACATACTATTCTTAGTGGATATGGTAACTGGACGTCAATCACAAATAACTAATTCGGTCTATTCCAGAATAGGTTAAAATAACTTGTCAGTTTTTGCCCTTCCACTCTACGCTTAATATACTCTTATTATATACCGCCAACACCTTGTGTCGTTCAAAACTAGCTGTCACTATCGCACCTTTTCAACTTCTTTTGCTAGTCAGCCATCACAAGTCACCCACTGCCCGGGTATCTCAACGTCAGTCCACCGAGAATGGACTGATTTTTCAATAAACAAACAAAAAGTACTTTTGAGAGTTCTAATGAATCAGGATATAACTGCTGGTCCCCTGAGAATATTACGCCCTTGACCGTTGGTGGAATGAGATTTAAAAGGAGGTGAACGGACCGGATATTGTTGGACCTTGGTCGGTCAGTTAAGAAGGTAAGTCGCGGCAAGATGAATCGATAAACCGGACACTCGACTCATGTAAATATGACATGAGTCATTGAATGACCAGGTCAAATCTAGGTCCTTTAGGAACTGCATACACCTTTTCCAAGTCGAGTGAAACCGTTGTAAATTCAAGCGAAAACGTTGCTACTTCAAGTGGATCCGTTGTAACGAATGCAGTAGTAGTCAATCCAGGAATCCAAAGGAAAAATGTGATTACAGTGTTATTCAAATGAAATACTGCTACTTCTTTAGTTGTTCAATTGTTGAGCATGCTGCCAACAGTGCTTTTCAATGTTATATATATATATATGTATATATATATATATGTATATATATATATATGATCGCATTTGGGAATCGTAACCTCAGTGGAATTTACTCCCTATACTGTCGAATGTTTATACCATATGCTATTCTATGGTGGTCCGAATATCATTCCAAGATGTGTGAGTATCATTTCAAGTTGTCTCGTTAACCTCGTCGGAACAGCCAAGCTCATGTAGTTCTCAAGCCGAAAGGTTGTGTGGCGGAA